AGCATCGGGAGTCGGAGACCAGGAGTCGCCCCAAAATTCAGGTTCAGACGAAGCTCTCAACTCTCAAGGTCAGACTCCGCTGAATCTTTCAAATTTCTCTCAAATCTACTTCATTTCATTTCCTTTGTAGGTGTTTTGTTTTCAATGATTTTGGTCTTGGGTCGTGGAAAAGTTTGTTTTTTATTTATTCTTTTATGTTTAATATGTTTCTGAATTCCGAGTGAAATCATGGTGTTTTCCCATTTCTTTGTTCTGTTCTTAGCCCAGTTTTGGTTTCTGGGGTAGAATCATTTGTACATGCTTGTAAAATGTTTATTTAATTATGAGATTGTGCATTTGGTTTTATATTGTTAGGATTTTGACGCATAATTGTCTTCTGATTTGAGACTTGGGGCTGCAAGCTCTCATCTTTTTGTTATTCTTTTTATGTTTTTTTTTTTACAATCTTGGTATATAATGGTAGTATAATATACTTGGCCTTTTGCTAGTTCTGAGATCTCTAGAACAGCTTGTGCTTACTTTATAGTTTATACAATGTTCTGTTATTTTGATTGCTTGATCTTCAAGTATGGCTCTTTATTCTCGAGTAGCTGCTTTTTTCTCATCCTTGTGTGTTAAAATGTTATATTCTTCTTGTGGATTCTTCCCAATTGTATGTCTTTATTCTATGTTGACATGCCTTTCTTTGTAATGAATTAACGAATGTAAATATGACATATCATTCTTTAGTTTAGATTCTTTCTCTATTATTTGGTGCTGAGGTACATGAGAATACACTTTTTTAGATGGCTTGATGAACCAGATTAGGAAAATTATGATACTACATTTGTGGTTTCTCATTTACTTAAGAACCTCTTGTATCTGTGTTTTCCTTTCTGGTTTTGGACTTCCTGTTTCAGAATTTTTAAAATTTTTGTCTGTAATGTGTTTGTTGTATTTTTAACAGCTTAGGGATAAATGGAGACCTTCCTGTTCACATCTGAATCTGTGAACGAGGGGCACCCTGACAAGCTCTGTGATCAGATTTCTGATGCGGTCCTTGATGCATGCCTTGAACAAGACCCTGACAGCAAGGTTGCTTGTGAGACTTGCACCAAGACCAACATGGTCATGGTTTTTGGTGAGATCACAACCAAGGCCAAAGTAGACTATGAGAAGATTGTGCGTGATACATGTCGCAGAATTGGATTTGTTTCAGATGATGTGGGACTTGATGCTGACAACTGCAAAGTCTTAGTTTTTATTGAGCAGCAGAGTCCTGATATTGCTCAGGGTGTCCATGGTCATCTCACAAAGCGCCCTGAGGAGATTGGTGCAGGTGATCAGGGTCACATGTTTGGATATGCCACAGATGAGACACCTGAGTTTATGCCTCTTAGTCATGTCCTTGCAACCAAGCTTGGTGCTCGCCTCACTGAAGTCCGCAAGAACGGGACTTGTCCTTGGTTGAGACCTGATGGCAAAACCCAAGTCACTGTTGAGTATTACAATGAAAATGGTGCTATGGTTCCTGTTCGTGTCCACACTGTTCTCATTTCCACACAGCATGATGAAACTGTTACTAATGATGAAATTGCTGCTGACTTAAAAGAGTATGTTATCAAGCCAGTCATCCCTGACAAGTACCTTGATGAGAAGACGATCTTCCATCTCAATCCATCAGGGCGTTTTGTGATTGGTGGACCTCATGGTGATGCTGGTCTCACTGGCCGCAAAATCATTATTGACACTTATGGGGGTTGGGGAGCCCATGGTGGTGGTGCCTTCTCCGGAAAGGACCCTACTAAGGTAGACAGGAGTGGCGCTTACATTGTTAGGCAGGCTGCCAAGAGCATTGTTGCTAATGGACTTGCTCGTAGATGCCTTGTCCAGGTCTCATATGCAATAGGCGTGCCTGAACCATTGTCTGTTTTTGTTGACACATATAAAACTGGAAAGATCCCAGACAAGGAAATTCTAAAGATTGTGAAGGAGAACTTTGATTTCAGGCCTGGAATGATAGCCATTAACCTTGACCTCAAGAGAGGTGGCAATGGCAGATTCTTGAAAACTGCTGCATATGGTCACTTTGGAAGGGATGACCCTGACTTTACATGGGAGGTGGTGAAGCCCCTCAAGTGGGAGAAACCCCAAGAGTAAAATCATCCGAACTTGTTTGCATCAATAAGTACCTTGTTATTCCAAGCTACCGTCTGAGTCTGATCACAAGAGTAAAGAGTGTGGCAAAATTGTTGGCTGGTTACTTATTTTTTTGCATGTATTGGATTGGTTTTTGCTACATATATATGAAAAGATAAAAGCAGTCATGAATCTTACAATTGATGAAAAAGCTTTGTGGAGAGGGGTTAGTCTTTATCTTTATGTATGAAATTTGGTCGAAGGACGAGAATACGGCCACAAGAGATTAGCTTCAGGAAGCAGCATTTAGTTAGCTGACACCGAATGAATGATTTCATGATTGCCCTTTTTCTTGTAAAATACTTGATAGTCTCACCAATGGTTACAAACCGACTGCTGTTGGGTGTAATATGTTGAAAAAGTTTGCAAAAATAGTAAGAATGATTTTATAGGTGGTGTACTCACCCCTTTCCTCTTAACACCTATCATTGTGTATGGTTTTATCTCATCTTGTATAGGAGGGATCAAACTTACGATTAAAATACCGTGATGCCTTTACGTTTTTAAGAGATCATTTATATGATCCTTTTTCATTAAATTAGGAAACTTTTTAAAGTAATAAAATTTCTTATTCAGATAATAAAACTCAGATATTATTGTATCCGTATATATATTGATTTCTTGAAACACATTCATCACAAATCCCCTTCCCTATCTAAATAAAAGGTCTGCATTGTAAGCTTCATTTTGATCCATGACCATGTTACAAAGCTATCTGTGAGGGCATTTTAAACAAATAGTGAAAGGTATAGGGTATTTTAAATAATAAAAAGAAGTTAGGAGTGTAATCCACAAAAAACCAAAAATTTATGGCATGTTTAATAATACTCGCATAATAAGTAGTGGCCTAATTTAATTTAGTGTTTGCCTGTAGCCACTAGCCACAGTATAATAAATGTATTTTTGTAATTATTTATTAATATAAAAAATGGTAAAAATTGAGCTTTTGACTTTAAAAAGCTCTTATCAGTTAGTTATAATTGAATAACTTAAAATTAATATTTATATTTTTTTTATAAAATAATAAAAGATAGATATTAGTTCGTTACCCTTAAAATAAATTGAAGTCATAATCTTAAATTATTTTATTTTATTTAATTAAAAATTAATTTAAAAATTTTAAATCTTGTTTTAGTAAATATTGATATTTAAATTTAAAAATTAATTATATTAAAATATATAAAAAGTTTTTAAAACTAACTATCAATATTTGATAAAATAGATTTTTTGATTTTAAATTAAAATTTTGATTTCTAAATATAGATTAGTACTTGAATTTTTTCAAAAAATCAAGACAGATAAAATTAAGCTCTAAAATAATTATAAAAAAATATTAATTACCCTTTTAAGCTAACATGGTTAAAAGCAATTAATTTAACCAATTAATTTAGCCCGGTTTTTCCGGGTTAAAACCGATTAATTTAACCCGTTTCCGTACTCTACAAAATCCCTTTAAACCCTAAACTCAAACCCCACAGAATGAATCTCCTCCCGCAAGCCGCAATGCCAACGCCGATACAAGCCGGCAACCGGCAAAGCCCAACCGGACAATGCAGCAATTGCGGCGTCTCCACCCTTCACTTTCTCCACCATCTGCGCCACGGCGGCATCCAGAGGCGGCTTTGCACCTCTTGCGTGCTTCGCCTCCACCCAACCTCCTTCTGTACCGTTTGTTTCGCCTTCTACGACGGCGTCCCACCCCACCCCTCCAAGCGTATCTCCTGTTCCAAGTGCGCCTCCTTCACCCACACCCACTGCGCCGCCACGTCGCCGCTCTCCCCCTACATCTGCACGCCCTGCAACAACTCCTCCCCCTCCTCCTTCTCCTTCTTCCACCAAACCGACAGGATCGACAAGAAGCAGGCCGTGGTGTTGCTCTGCGCTGCCAGGATCGCCGCGTCCTCCATGAGTAAAGCGGCTGCTCTTGCCAAGGAGGAGGCAGAGAAAAAGGTGAGGGAGGCAGCGTGTGCTCGGAAACGGGCTCGAGAAGCGCTGGAGCATCTTGTTTGGGTTTCCAATGAAGAGAGCGCGAGGAGGCAGGAGGAGATATGGAATGGGAATAATAATAATAATGGGGTTGCCATGGCCATTGCCATTGCCAATGCCAAGGATGATGAGGAGGAGATGGATGGCGATTTCGAAAGTCTAGTGAGGGATTTGGAGAATACTCTGGTGAAGGAGGAAGGACTAGATGTTGCAATCTGAATTTCAGGTTTCCTTTTCTTTTTCCCTGTTAGTTACACAGGCAATTTTGTTCAAAGATTGATGAATTTCGTACATACATACTTTCTTGTTGTACTTAGTTCCTTCAAAATGAAATGACATCTTTCATATGATATCAAGAAATGTCTACATTCAACTTAATTCATCTTTCCTTTCCTTTGAAGGAAATATAAAATACAGATAGAATGTTTATTGGAAAATGATTGGTAAATTTGGAAAATATAATATAAGTACAATAGGTTCTTGTATCTTAACTGCATTTTTAAGTGTGTTGTATACTTATAAATGTCCATTTTTTCCCACTATTCACAGCAATTACATTAAATACATGTGCTATTTGAATTTGACAGACTGAGTTGTAAGTAAATGACAGTGAAAATAGAGAAAAGAGAAAGTCAAGACATCCTGATATTAAAAATGTGAGGGCCTTCAATTACAAGTGTGCCTCCTAATATATATATATATATTTGATGGTAGGGAATTTCAGGAAAGGTGAACCTGGGTAAAGAACTCAGGTTTTAGGTGTCCGAACACTTTTCTCATTGGACACGTCTTAATATTTTTAATGTTAGGACGTCCTGATTTTCCCTTGAAAATAACTTATATACAAGCAATGCTCCTAAATTCTGCGTCTCTGCCACCACCATTAATTGTTTGATTCTGGTGGTTGCTTTTGTTGGGCTATATAAAGTCGGGACCATTACTGTTTGATTGGCTCATTATGTTGCTTCATTCAGAAATCTGAATTATACATTTCCCTCCCATATAAGAAAACTTCTGAACTCTCTCAAACAAGGATTTTCTGAACAAGGATCCATCTCTCCGGTAATTAATCTCCCTGGCATCAGAAACTGGAAGCAGAGTATATATCAAGTTAGAAGTTAATGCAAAGTTAGGTTAACTGATCTTTGATTCTATTCTAACCTGCCAAAGAAAAACATAAACATATTTTGCAAAGAGAAGCATGTCCTGCCTACCTCTGCTGTATATGTAGGTAGCATTACTCCCATGGTCGCCATGGTTTTGCTGAAGAATACATCCCCGACTCCTCTTGATGGGTATTGATGGTTTTTTCTTCTTGTTATCGATTTCTATGTCTCTGTTTGTTTTGGGTTTTCAATTCCTTCCTTCTTGTTGTTGATCTCGATTAATTTGTTTCTTTAGACTGAAACTGCATCTTGGTGAGTTGCTACTGCCCCCCTTCCCAATTTGTATGGGCAGAATGCATCTGAATCAAGCCAAGTAAGTTTCTTATCTTTGATTTATTTAAGGAAAATAGAAGGCTTTCTTTAAATTTGTTGCTTTATTAATTAATGTATATATATTGCTGTACATGTTTATGATGAATCTTCATCCTATCATCTCATTTCATCTCATCTCAGGTTGATGAGTGGGTGGAGTAAGCTCATCAACCTGAATAATATGGTGATGCCTTGAATGAATTGAAGTCACAGCAACCTTTTGTTTCTAAAAGCCGGTGGCATCCCAAACAACAGAGCAGCAGGATCCAGGGTATATGTGGGGATATTTGGGACAAGGTGAAAGTAGGCTGTAAGCCTTCATGTCAAGTAGATCTCCCACATGCCGAGTCTGGAAAGGTGCGCTTGCAATTTGCAACATATATATAAACCTAGTGTGGTTATCTTAAATCATTATTACTTTGCTCAGCGCCACCAAAGGTCAGCTGATTGAGTGCTTTGATGACACAAATCCTGCTTAAGAAAGCAATGAATTTGTGGATAATCTTTTGAAAGATACTCAGACAATGAGTGTTAATTATATATGAAAAGGTTTCACCCACTTTAGATTACTTACCTAAGTTGATGGAGATGGCTGAAAATTGATCCTCGAGGGTAAAGCTCCACGTGAGGTGGGCAAATGAAAAAGGAAAGAATGGATGGCGTTAAATCAACATGCGTAGGAGGCTGAGGGCCCGTTTGGTACAGCGGTTAAAATTCAGCGAATAGCGGGTAGCGGGTAGCGGATAGCGGATAGCTGTAGCGGGTAGCGGGTGGCGGTTAGCAGATAGCGGAAAGTGGGTAGCGGATGGTAAATAGCGGATTCGATAAATTTAACTGTTTGGTTATACAATAGTTAGCGGTTGTTGTTTAATATCAAATGACTAATAAGGACATGTTTAAAAACAAATAAATGTATTTTTTAAAATATTT